GTTACTGTCTACCTGGAAGATCTCATTGTCATGGGTTCCGACCCCCATGGATTGTGGCAGTGCCTTGATTACGTGCTGGATAGTGTTCAGGAACATGGCTCCAGAGTGCGCCGAGAGAAATAAACCGTATTTATGCGGGCCATAAAGCACATTGGATTCATCGTTTGCCAACATTGCCGCCGACCAGACTCGGAGGACACTGCCCCTATCAAACGTATGCCAGCATCGACAGACGTGGCGTTCCTCTGGCCTTTCGTGTCCTATCGGTCACTTCAATTTATTGATGCCTGCAGTGCATAGATTCCGATGCTCCGAGCCCGCTACTTACCAAAGACCACAAGTGGACATGGTCAGAAGGACGCCAACAAGCCTTTGACTCTATCGAATCTATGCTGAGGTCCAATTTGCCACTCATCCCCTGGGATCCGTCTCTGGAGTTTGTTGAGGTGTTGGATGCCTCAGACTATGGAACTGGCGTTGTGATTTCACGGGTATTTCCTGACAGCAGCCAAAAAGCCGGTGCGCACGCGACCAGATCCTTGACAGTGACCAAGCGCAACTATATTCAGAGAGAAAGCGAAGCTTTGACGATCGTGTTTGCCGTCAGAAGACTTCGTGAAGTGCTCTATGGCCGTCAGTCTACCCTACTGACCGATCATTAGTCACTCCTTTGTGTTTTACCCGAAAAAAGGAATCCCAGCATATAGTGCCAACCGCTTCCGGAAATAGGTCGCTCTGTTTCTAAGGTGAGATTTTTGGGATCAAGTGCCAGTCTACCACCAGCCTTGGACAAGCCGACGCACTGTCGCCACTCATTAATTCAAATGGGCCAGAACTAGAAGATACTTTAATCGCAACAATAGTTTTGAACCGGTGATCAACCGTGCAGTATCCCAAGCGGTTTGTACTCTCCCAGTGACTGCCGGCATGGTCAGCCCGGCTGCCGACGAAGATCCTGTGCTCAGCAAGTCTTTAGGTAAAACCACACTCAGCGGCATACTTTCCCAAATGACGAACTGGGAGGTTCTTTCAACCGGTGTGACGCACATTCACTAGCTGTTTTCAGAAAGCGTTATCATCCCACAGAATTCATAACCAGCGATCCTGAAGCAGTTTCATAAAGCGCACCAAGAAGCAAACCGGATGAGGTCTCTTGCTCGGCTTTACGGCCAATGGCCTTTGATGGACTTCCAGATCGAGCCAGTCTCAAATTCTTGCATGCTGTGTGGTGAGGCATCCAAGTCGCCCCTGAAAATTTCCTGCGGTTGTGGCCTCAATTGACTGAACACTGGCTTCATCTTCATATCGTTTCTGCAAGTCCAGTTGGTGGCCAAAACTCTGGCCCTATTCAGTGCCCACAGCAAAAAGCCGCAGACTTTTCAAGTGAACGGCATAACACTGCCAATACAGTCCCGAAGGTTTGACGGTTGTTCAGTCGCCTCAGAACACCAGGGGCTATTGCATCCGACAACGGTGGTCAGTTCGTGTCGTCGGCTTTTGCAAACGTTTGTCGCCGCTGGCTATTCGCACAATGAGATTGATTTCTGGAAATCTACGGCATTTTCAGACTTGCCACTTCCTAGTTACGTTAACCATAGGTTAACCGATGATAAAATATCGCCGATTGTGGAAAAGGTTGACTCACATACAACGAACGTAACTTTCAGGTATTTTTCCACCGGAAAAAATTTCCTCAACATTCTAGAATCTAAATTGCTCTTGGAGATGCAACATATACGTAGACGCATTCGTGCAAACAAATTTTGGTCGATGATTCTTTGTTGCCAGTAAAAATTCCGTAGTGCACGCTAATTATTCGCTAAACGTCGTGCACGTTTGCTGGCAAAAACCGAAGTTTCCTACTTTAGGTTGCGAATCATGCTAGAAAGACCTCGAGGTTTATCGATTAGGAACATGAAACATACGTCAATCATAACGGACAGCCGAAAGATCTTAACCGACGCACACGACCAACATGCTGCTAGGAGTACACGATGCCTAATTAACTAGCCACATGGAGCCTACGTTGATAATGCCAGACAGCCGAACGATCTTAACCGACGCACACGACTAACATGCGGCAAGGGGTATACGATGCCAAACTAATCCATCGATCTGTAACTGAGAAAAGGCTCGAAATGGACGTCATTGAATTTTGAGATATATTGGTCGTTTTTAAGTTTACAAAGGTCCTTCTGGGAGGCGCATTTTCTTCTTCGTGAAGAGCGTTTGGTCGTTGAAGTGCTGAAATGAGAGGAAGATATAATTCAGGTTATCGAAATATCACCATTAGGCGGGCGGCTGACAAACCGGTAGGGATACTTACCCCAAAATTCACTGAAGCGACTATGCTGTTGTAGATGCCTGTTCACACAATGTTATCTTCAGCGGTTATTTCGCATGCCTGTTTACTGCACCTCTCAAGAAATACGAGACTTACATGTAATGCATAGGACCTCAGTAACAGACAAACTTCTCGGATCCGATGGGCCACATGAAATCATCTACGTCTCATTCATGAGGGTTGAGGTGCAGTATCCTCGACCACCAACGGCAGGTCGTCGGTTGCAGACTTTGAGGCTTGGCGCAGCAGGATTTGTCCCTGAACAATCAACCGCTTAAATATGGCGGCGGCCTCCTTGAGTTCCAGCCTCTGAAGCTTATCCATCACCCGATTCAGTTGTTTACGAAGACCATCGGAAGCTCGGGGGTGGCTTGGGAACAAGTGTAAGGAGTACACCTTTTCCCGGCAGGTTGTAATCTGACAGCCATCGTTAGTGGATTGGAAAGCAAGCTAAAAAAGTCAATGAAGAATAGTTCTTACTGCTCGTAACGGACTGATCTCGGAATTCAGAGAACAGGTGTACGCGGGGGAGCCACATCGCCTGATAGAAAGGGCATGTGCATTCTCCAGCAAAGGTGCCGACAGTCTGGGAACATCTGGGTGTTTGCACCACAAACTATAAGTTAGTTCAAGTAGCTCGACCTCACCTTGTTTGTTCCGACACTTTCATACGGCAGCCGCGGCGGTCACGGACCCCAGTGCCTCAAAACGAGAAAGCATGCATATGCCGCCACTCGACAGACTTCGTTTAGGACGTCGGCGTCACCCTCCAGGATTTGCCGCCTGTCGCAGTGGTACAACGTATGCATCTCAAACTCCCGCATGAGCCACTCGGCGTGCCGGAACACCTTTTGAATGGCATGCTCCAACGTGTCGGGGTGGTGCACCCGATCATTAAGGCGCCCGTTTGCATTCTCCAGTTAGTTGTTGGTCACATTACCAAAATGAGCCATTCCGGACTGTGCATGTATGGCCCATTTTCGGGTGATGTACAACCGGCGAGCCGTACGATAAGAGAGAAATCGGAGATCGGTTAGGCACAGAAGCTGTATATCTTGTCGGAATCTGTGTGCTTGTAATATGATGAACATGAAACCTACTGTACAGCATTGTCCAGGAGAGCCATGCGTTAAAATGTGTGCAGGGTGTTCGCAGAATGTGTCTATGACCAATATACATGGATATTAAATGATACACACGTGCTTCCTGATGGCTTTGTGGACATGAAAGTAGCAAAGCATAATGCCACAGCCGAACACGACTTTTGCCGAACGCATCTGCGCCGCCAACTTGTTCATTACAAAGGTCCTGACCGGATATGCTTCGCCCATCATTTCTTTGAATAAGCCGAACAGTTTACGCACGGGAGTAAACTGCTCGCTCTCTACGAACGCATACATAACCGGACGCCCGGTTCCCATGCCGTCCGTTATCAAGAATGTGTACAGTTTTTATCTAAATACCGAATATTAGATGCTTTAAAAACTTACCCAAGGAGGTCTGTTGCACGCGTTCCGTCTACATTTACTACGTCTGGAAAGCGTCGGAATAACGCTATCTGCTGCCATCGGGAGAAACATATGTGGCTGTAGTGACCTCCCTCTGCCTGACACACAAGGACGCGTCCGGTCTCCCGAAGTTTTGCAGGCCCGAAAGTATATCATCTGCTACATTAAAACCCAACCACGCGGCACCTACTCAACATAGCCGGTTGACACTTCCGGCAGCAGTTGTGTATATCCTTAGTGGTGAGAAGCTTTCCGAATTCATCCGCCACAAACTGCCGCACCACAGATGAGGGCATTCCATATCTCAGCGGGGCAATGCATTTGCCCAGCCCATCTTCGGTTAGGCGTCGATTGACTGCAAGCCGATCGTACAGAAACTTTGACAGTTTGTGGTCGTGTTCCAGAAAATAAGAGGTTACTGCCAGTTGGTTCCTTTACCTCTGTAGACAAAATCGCGCTGGATAGCTGGTGCTTGGCATACTTTTTTTTATTAGAAAATACGCTCGGATTACTAGTTTCAGTGAAGGATGAAAACGAAACACCCACAAATTTCCCAACGAAAGCCATTTCCAAACCCATAGCACTCGAAGTTTAAAGCCGAACGTGCGCCAATAATTTTCAAAAGAGATGGAATAAAACAAATCGCCAAAAATGGCGGCAGATGAGGGGGATTTTCTAGCACAGCACATATGCAAAGAAGTGCAACATTTTGACGTTAAATTTTTATTTCCCCTGTAGGGGTTTTGCAGAAAAATGCATTGTGCTTCGAGCCGCTGGCCGTTTGTCGGAAGTATGACATAACATATATCCGTCCGCCACCGTTTCGTCCACTGTCGAGCGGCCAAGCTGAGCACCTCGTTGACATTCTGAGGCGAGCACGTCAGAACTTCAGAGGGGAGTGACCAAACGAAAGATAGTTTACGAATGCCACTGTTGGCATATAGAGTGATGGGGTCCGATGGGGTGTTACCAGAGGGCAGACCGCTTCGAGTTTGAACACGTATGGCACTATCCAGCCACAAAAAGGCAAGCTAGTCACCTCAACACAAGACCGGAGTAACAGCCCAACCGGCATCTAGAAAAAATGCGTGCTTCCTCCGCGAAGGCCGGAGAGTGTTGTTCCGTGATTACAGGGGCGGACACCCTAAATGGACACCAGGACTCATCCTTCGCCGACGCGGCAAAGTGCTCCACGAGATTCCAGTTGGCATAACCAAGTACACAAGGTACGCAAGCCAAATCCGGTAGACCCTGCCCAAGAGACCGAATAGAGCGAGTTTGGAGATGCCTCGGGATAGTTTTAATCTCGGCATTATCCCAGAAAATCCATCAGCTTCTTCGTCGTGAGCCCATCCCGAGCATGAACTACAACCGCGGCGCTGGACAGACGGGATCCGCAAGCCGGTGAGGCCACTGCAAATGAATCCTCAGCTCCAAGGCTTCGTCAGCTAACTTAAGGGGAGGTGTTAGACGAAGTTTCGCGCGGATTCGGTCTTACCGCTCGCAGTCAGGTGGTGCCACGACCGAGAAGCAAATCCAGCAAAAGATCGGCTGAAAGTCGGGACTTCGCCGGTCCGGAATCCAGCCGAGGTCTGATTGGCTCAAACTTTGAACCCAACAGCCAATCACGACCGAGTATTGGCCGAATGTCGGTTGCCAATGACGCATCCAGAAGGCGTCAGAATTCCCAGAGATTTGTTGCCGCTTAAACCACATACGAAGCATTGCGCGTACTCTTTACTTCGTTTTGGGCGTTAATATACATTGCAAACCTTTGGCGATTGTTTTGACGTGGACGCTAGCCTGAGAGGCTCAGAAGGGGACTAAGCTAACGAAAATACCTTTACTATACGAATACGTAAGACGCTTCACAACTTCAAGTGCCTTACCTTGGATCGTGGGTGGCGTGTTCAGTACCTGCAGGTCCAGAAGTATGACCTCACATTTAGTGGTTGAAGTGCTTACCAATGGACAGTGAGTTTGGTCACTTCATTCAAAAACATTTGCGCCTTCTTTTTGATGATAACGACGTCTGCAAATTCCATATGGACAAAGTTTGTCAGCAGCTATTTAAACACTAGGCTTTTGAAGACCTCCCAGTGTTTGTTTTATTATCTCATTGATCACTAAATTAAATAGGAATAAAGAGAGAAGACTCTCCTAACGGGCACGCTTTTTGTATGAGAACTTTTGAAGGGCTGTCCCTATGCTCTCACACGCCCGGAAATCTGAGAACACAAAAAGCCTGTTCTGTGTAAAACTTCCAGGCAAATATTAACGGGTAAGAATGTCAATGAAAAATGACCGAATCTAATGCGCCTTGGGAATCTAGGAATGCTAAAACTGTGCGTCCTATATACATGTGAAGTCGTTATATCTCCTGAAGAAGTCTTTCAGTTGTAATACCCTTCCGGTGCCTGGCGGCCATGCCATCCGACGGAAGCAATAGGGCTGGGTAGATGCCAAGTTGCTGAAGTCTAAACACGGGAAGTTGGGTTGTAGTGGTCTGGTTCGAATTGAGCTTCGGGTTTACAAATTAGCACTGTAACCACTTGAACACATGACAAGGTGTAAAACTTTGATCAACACAACACCCGCCTGACAAGATTCCCGTTCGCTGCCTTAAATCGGTCTCACGAGCCACCATATGATGAAAAAGAAATGACGCCAACAGTCTCGTCACGACCGGGGTCATGCTTTTCTTACCAAACCCACTACCAGTTCCTTTCCGAAGATGGGCCTTATGGCAGACACTCCGCAGTTTTGTGTACAGTCTCCTTTTCCCAAATGCAGGCAAATAGATCAGAAGAGCGCTGACTGAGGAGTTCACCACCGTCTTTGAACAATGTATGTGGAAGGTCAACCGGATCGGAAGCTCGGTGGCGCTTGAGAGAATATATTCAATCATAAACTTAATGGGTTGTCGGGGGCTCCACGTTCACTGTCCAGTTTTCTACGTCAACTGTGGGCTCTAGGTGACTGGCAGCTGTTAGTCACGATAACTGTTGTTCGAAGTATTGGGGCCCAAGGGTTGAATGGTTCTCCTTTATTCAAGATGGTCGGTCCCCGCTAATCCTTGGTGGTTTCTCTTGCAAGTTGTTTCCGGGGCCGGTTGCACGTATCAACGGAAAAAGCCTTCGGACATTCTCAGCTTCTAGGCTTTTTATACTGTGACTAGTAACAACAATTCTGGCTCCCTTGTGATTTAAAAATTACTGGTAAGTTGGAACGAATTACTACGCGATAACAGTCACTACCTCAGATCTGTACACATCACTGTTATAAAAGGTTCGTATCCGAACAAAAATCCCCGTAAGCTGCTTAGCTGAACGCAATTTACTGCCCCCTTTCCATTCTGAGGTGAACGGTGAACCAGTGCCGCCTTTTGTTTGTAATGCTGTGTTTGAAGATGTACAGCTTTTGTAATGTTGTAATGTGAAAGTTCAAGTCACCAGCAAGATCCGCTTGCTTAGCATCAAGTATGCCATATGCAAAAAACAACGGAACTACGTTTACTCTCTGTGTAAATCCAAGAAAGTTTGGTTAAAGTAAGTATTTTGATCAGTTTCAAGGGAAACTTACCGAAATGTACGTACATTTTATTGTGACCCATTCCGAAACAGCAATTATGCATTTCGTTATCACTAAGTATTACAATAAAGCTAAATTTTTCTTCACGATGCAGCATTTCTCAGTTTAGTTTGGGAGGAGTTTAGCTGCATAGGTTAACCAAAAATTACAAGTCTAACAGTGGGTCACATTTTCCAGTAAATTCTTGGTGACTTGCCTTTTTCAAAGCAGATATTATTGTCATAATCCTTAAAACCTCTGCGCCAATGGTCAGGTTGAGCATCTTACCAAAACACCACCAAACAAGATTATTCTCGCCGGACATTAATTTTCTGGGAGCTCGAAATTTCCTCTTGCTGCACGATGATACTCCTCAATGAAGAACAAGTGAAAGATACAGCGAAACCATTCAGGTGACGTGATGCCAAAGCTCAAGATGATGATAAAAGGCCATTGAATAGCACTGCGGTAAAATCCGTTGGCCCACACGTGTTGAGCATGTAGACGTGGATGATCCTTCACTTTACGTACATTCCACACACTTTTTAGAGACACAGTCAAATCCCTTCTAGCACCTGTCTCGTCACAGTTCAAGTGTTCTGTCAAAGAGCAGTCAAATGAACGCATAAAAATAATGATACTCAAATTTGACTTAAGCTGTGGTAAGTGTGATAGCGTTTGTTGCCAAAACATGAATAACCTCAGATTGTATGTTTTTAAGGTAGACTCAATGTACTCTGCACATGAAATATGTAATGTATGGTAATATGTTTAGTGATGACTGCAATATATTACCTGGCTATATGTAGTATGTGGTATTCATTCCGCATTTATATATACGCTTGATTCTAGATATTTTTGCACATTTTTACATCCCTATTGATAACAGTCAATTCATTTCAAGGAAGACGACAATGGTTAAAAACGCTGTCGGACGCTTCGTTCCCCAAGCTACGATATCCAACGCGTGACTTACCATATGCCATTTAAGGACGGGTTTTACTGCAAGAAGCTACTTCTGTAGCCCAGTTTTATTGCTCGCCAAACATGAAAAACCTGGTGCAACCCTCACAATGTGTTAGTCACCTTTCATAGCGTCCTTCACAATTTGTGGACGATGGAAATATCGATTGCATTTGAAAGTATTTTTATGGGATAAGTTTATTTCGCACTGTACTGAACTTACACAAAACAACGTGATTGCCAAAATTAGTATACACTGCACAGATTGTCGCGGCAAATTTTGCATATTGTCACTTTTAGATGTGAAAGTAACGGGAAATAAATAATGCATGTTTGGTTATCTTTGATTCTGGTGGAAGAGGAAATTCAAAAGCCACGGATGAAGTCTTTCTGGAGAGCAGACAGGCGAATTCTCAAGGCGCTGTAGCATAAATAAAAACAATAAGGTTAGAATAAGCTCCACCTAAGGACTGAAAACTAGATGAACAGCACCACGAGTGGTAATATGTTAAGATATCTTCCGTAGACTTATTTTCCGTGTACTCAGTAATAAAAGAAGATGAATTTTCAAGTGTGCTCTTAGAAATAATTGATGTTTTATCAGATATAGTCGTGATGATCTGAACGCAAAACGAGCTAATGATCAACACCAATGTTCATTGGTACAGCGGTCGGCAGGGGTGATCCAACTTTGCTTGCAATTGTGAAGGCGCTTCGCCGCTGATCATAGGTGTACAAGTAGTTGTGATAAATAGAATAGTGGTAGGTATCTTAACTACCGAATGTACGCGTAGTATAGAAGTCCGAATATGGACGAATGAATATCGTATATTCTCGAATATCGCGGGCGCACAATCAATCGCATCGTAAAACAAAGGCATATAAAAATACACTAAACAGAATGAATAGAATAGAATCAATGTTCACCACATCCACCACACGTTGAATGAGCGTGGGGGTGTTTATAGTGTCTAATAGGTTGGAACATCAAACGTTCAGATCTTCTCAACGTCGGATTGTCAGGTTTAGTGCTTGTTTCATGCTCATCAGAACCATCTCTAGCATTGAATTCGACCTGATCAACATGCCGTCTGTGACTTGATAGATCTTCGAGGTCAAGAACCGTGACCATACGATTCCCGTTCCTCCCAATAACAACACCAGTAGATGGACGTAGATCGTTACCTTTGAAAAATGCTACGTCGGCAGGCCCAATGCATTCCAGGTTCCTGCTTAAAGATCTCGATTTGAATAGCTCTGCTGGACTCTTACCAGTAATTGAATGAGCAGCATTCCTGTACTGCATCAAGAAATTATCAATACCTCGATCAAGATCATGGAAAGTAACAGGG